GTATTTTTTCTTACTTAAGTAATACTAGAAGTGTGGGGCAAAGGTTCGATGTAATTGTCTCGACCATACAAACTTTTCGAAGCGAAGTTCAGTCATAGAAAGAAAAAGCAGGATTGCTTGAATGGAAAGAACAAAACGGAAAGGACAACCAAACGAAAGCGCTAACAGCATAGGGCTCTATCTATATATAGTATAGAGAGCTTACCGGACGAAACCAGACCTTTAATTAAGGCTGGAGTAGAAGGGATAGTAGGCACGAGAGCTGCTAGTATTAGAGCACCAGCCCTCATCGAGACAAGAGACCATACATTAACTATGGCAAGAACATTCAATGGTCTGCGATCTCCCTTCCTCAAAGAAAGGAGAAGAAGATATCGACCAGTGTCTTCTAGAAAGAGTATAAAAAAAATAACATCGGCCAAAAAAAAGTCAATCAACGAAGCCGGTAAGAAAGAGAATTTCAAAAATTCACCTGTGAAAAAATTTCAATCTTGTTTGTGTTCCAGGAAAAAAAAGGGTTGATGGATGAAGCGATGAAAGATAAGTGGGACTTTCAAGCAAGGCCGGCATGGGCTACGTGATCCCCTAAGACCTTCCACTATTCTTATATTGATCTTGGTTCGGCGGGTCACTGTCGTCATCGAGGAGGCCGGTCTGTTCTGGCTACCAGTCAGTAGCTAACCGAGACCCCTGTAGCTAGCTCTTTTTTCTGTTTTCACGAATCCTGTGAATGAATCCTAGTTAGTTAGCTTGGCGCTAGGAGTTGTCTAATCAAAAGACGTAAAAGCAATTGTTAGAATTTCATCCGTATCTGGCTTGATGGTTGCTTTCTTTCAAGGGTGGATTGCTTTTCAATGCCGTCTTTCGGCAAAGGGAATTTTCTTCAACAAAGTCTCCCCCCCCACTAGCCGGCTCGCCAAGTCTTGCTGCTGTCAGGTCTTGAGCTCTTGTACCGAGATCCGTAAAAGAAAGGGCTTGCTTCGGGTGAGGATTCTTTCGAAAGGCATTGAACTGATTCCATGGCTAGACCGATTCGAATGCTTACGGGATGGACCAAGGAATCAGCTCTTGCCAGAGTTGCTTTCCGTGGAATAGCCTTTATCTCATCGCCAATCGCCGGGTGATTTCACTCAAAACGAATTGAATCTTTTGCCCCTCGAGAACTCAAAATCACCACACCCTTAAGAACAAGGGCCTCTTAGTTCAGTCTTCCCGAAAGCTATTAAAGGGAGTACCTGAAGGCATCAATGAATCTAATTNAATGGAGTATGCAAGAACTCTAGTTGAATTGACCGTTCACTCATAGGTGGCTGCGAACAAGGACATGGAAGCCAATGCTGTCTTAGCTGCTCTTGCTGCCAACGACTCCGATGCCGTTTAATTTCTTGGAGTAAGCGCTTTATGAAAAGGCGTAGCTGCAATTGGGCTTCGGCTTGTACTTTCATCGATCTTGCCTTGGCGTTGATCCGAAGGGGGGAGATTGCTCTTTCTCCTCCGTTAACAGACTAGGCTAAGAAAGCATAAAATACCGATCTTATCACCACTTTCTCTTTGCTTTGAAGGAAGAAGGGCTGTGTTTAAGATTTCATCAGGTGCTATGTTAATAGCCCTCTTGTTATTACCGCTGTCCTTTTTCGTGGGGGATCTAAGCCTCGATCTCTCTATCACTCCTTATCTCATTTGCTTCCTTTACCTTACATCGTGCAAAGAGTCATTCTGAGGAATGGAAGAACAGCTTCTTCTCAACCTCCCTTTGGGAAGTAAGGAAGTATGGTAAATAGCCTTTTTTT